GTGGTTGGCTATGAAATAGAAATAAATTGATAAAATATTCAAGTTTTTGTTATATAATGACATATGCTGATGGTCTGATTATAGATCAGTTCAGCCAGGAATTGCACCTGCACCTGCATTTCTTCTAGTAATGCCAGAATTCCTCTGGAGGAAATGAGAAATACTTACTTTTAAGCACTCCAGGAAGAGTTTCATGCCACTGTAGTTGAGGAACATCTCACAGTTATCAGGGGTCTCATCAGTGATGTTCCAGAGGGCACTCCAGGAAAACTCCATCACCTGATCACACTATGCAGCCAAAGAGGGAGAGAAACAGAGCTTTGTTAATGTGGGAGCCTAGTGCAAACCAAGTACCTGCATTTCATCTCTGGCATCACCCCAGAGAACTTCAGAGGTAAGAAAACCTTGTTATTTACTTTCAGCTTTTTGATGAGTGGCTGGTTTTGTTCTTATAGTTGTTGTTTTTGCCTCCCTGCTACCTCCTCCCTCTCCTTTTTGGAGAGAGTATCTTATAGCACCAGCTGAGATGTCTAGTGTTTGGTAGAAAAACTGGCTGGTGTACTGGACTGATCAACATGGCTGTGTCAGGCTGAACAGAAAATACTCTGTGTGTATATTTTGGGGGGAAAACACTCACCGTTTTATCAGCCAGCTTCTTCTGAATCAGCTTTAGCATTGTCTGTAGGCAAGGAAGGTGAGAGTGAGAACAGTTCAGAAATTACAGAGCTTAAAACCGGCTGGCTGCAGCCAATAGCAGGTACATGCAGTCTAAGAATCTGACCCTTTGTAGAAAACCTAATTGGTATCTCTTCCTCTGATTCAGTGGGACTGAGTTACGTTCAGTATTGCAGGTATTTGCAGAGTTGAACTATGTTAGAGTCCCTGAGCTGCAAAGTTTACAGTGAAATCCATTGTAATCAGTTTTGCAAAGTTAGGAATGTGATAACTATATCAGAGCAGTTGCCTGACCAAGTCCTTAGAAAGGTGTGGGATATGAGTGGACATGAATTGGGAGGCTAGTGCAAAGTCGGGGGAGATGCTGAAATAGCTAGGTCAAAGATTGTATCAGTTCCAAAAATAACATAGTGGACTGAAGAGGGAGGGTAATGGGTCATGCTGCTTCCCTGCTCTCACAGAGACTATCTGTGAGACTCTGATTTCCAGTGCTGGCAAGCCAGGAAAAGCTGTCAGATGGAGGGACAGGTGCCAAGAGACATTAGCATTGCTGGGACACAGGTTCCCTGCTGGGACACTGGAAGGCTGAATCACTGGCTGGACGTGCTTGCTGCCCTGCTGCAAGGGAATGGTGGTAGCCTGGTTAAGTATAAGCAGACAACTTGGGACCATACCAACCATGACAAACCCCATCTTGCCCACAGCTTCTTTATGATCGTTGTCCACCTGGCAGACCAGGGCATTGCACAGGTGCACGGCGATGCGCTGGATAGACTCATCCTGCCGGCTTTGGTTGAGGATGTTCAGCAGCAGCTCGTTGACTCGGCGGTACTGGAACTCCAGCTCCTCGGGGATGCTGAAGTTGCACAGTGTCAGACAGCAGTTCCGCTGCACCTAGGGCAAGAATAAGCAAACACTGGGCTGGGAGGCTAAGAAAACATGATCCTATCACCTCATGTTCCCTTGCTGTTGGGCACCAAAACCATTTTCTTGCCTAACTGTGATAACTAAAATTTCTGTTACCCTCATGTCTATCACTGTGCTTTATCTGTACCCTCCCTTTTCTCTTACTGTCACCCTAGCATCTCACAATCGCCCAGTTTCATTCCTTTATTTCCAACAACCTCTCCATGCAGCAATTGCCACTCTACAATCCAGTGGCATCGTACTATCTAAGGTCAGCAAGCTCCTGGTCCAGTGCCTTGGAATAATGTTAGTTTCTATAGACTCAACGCCCCCAGTGCCTGCACATCTTCACCCCCTATCACCATGATCAGTGCTGGACATCTATGCCATGGGCTGTGTGCACCCTTTAACCCCCAACCATCACCTAAAAATGAGCCTTGCTATCATCACTTGCTTTCTCTGGTTGTGGAGAACATCACATGGAGAAACAGTGCCCTGCGTGTAATCTCCATTATGGAATGAAGGCAAGGAACAGATCTGGGCAATAGCTTCTCTAATGCTTGTTTTGACTCATATCCTGGAGGGCCAAGATGCTACATCAGGCTAAAGACAGAAGATGGGGAAGGCAGGTCTATGGCAGCTAAGAGAAGCTGGGCTGCTCTTACTGTGACTTCCTGGTAGGACTCCATGCCATTCAGCACCACCTGGATGACCTGGTGCCGCAGCTTCACGCTCTGCTCCATGCGGTACTCGGAGTTGGTCAGGTAAAACAGCGCTGCGCTGCCTGTGACCTGGATGTTTTTGTCATCCTTGTGGCACTTCAGGGCTGTGATCACCAGCTGCAGAGAAGAAACATGAAGCTTCAGTGAAGCATCAGTGCACTGATGTTGCAGGAATATCCTAAAAGGCATCTCACAAAATCAAGATACTCAGTTTCACTGCACAACTGGAACTTCCTCATGATGTGACAGCTGATGTGGTGTGCAAGAGCAGAGAAAAGCCTGGGCTTGAAAAATCTCCCTTGCGAGGGTAAGATAAATACTTAGGTGAGCTCACCTGGAGGGCTCGCAGCAGCTGGCTGCAGCGCTCGATGCGGGCAATGTCGAAAAGGAGATTGATGGCCCTGGAAGTGATTTCTGGTCGGTGTTCAGTGTAAGCCTCAATAGCATTCAGAACCTGCTCCTCATTCTTGTCCCCGCTCACCTGGCATGGAGGCAAAAAAACAGTCAGGAATAAAGCATGGAGGAGGAAGGGCAGCATGAGAAGAGAGCTCTGAGGGTAAATTCAGAAGGTTAAAGTGGACAACTCCTTTGTATCCTGCTGGTAGGATTTGGCCCAAGATGGGAGCAAAGGGGCTGTGTCATTGCTCAGTCCAGAGAGAAAGAAATAGCTCCCTCATGGCAGAAAGATGCTGCTCACAAGTAAGACTCCTCTTTCTCCTTATCTTAAATCCTTGTTTTGCTAGAATAAGCACAGACACCTTGTTGGGTGATTTATTCCCAGGCCCTTCTCTGAGAGAGATATATTTTCCCATTGTGAGAACTGAGGTGCATGTCTTGCCTTCTGGTAGCTTTCCTGCATTACCAAATGGCTACTGAAAGGTCAGAGCTCAGTTGTCACATGCCAAAATTCGAGAACTCCTCTCTAGTGGCAGCCAGTGGTTCTGCTGTTCTTTGAACTTCCACCAACTACCCACTGCCAATATTTTTTGCTGCCTCATTACCTTGTAAGCTGGAATATGTGTCAGGCGGCAGAGAGATGTTTCAAAAAGGCCCAAGAACTGGAGTGGTCGTTTCAGACCCCGGAAGGGAGCAATGCTGCTCTTTGCTGGTTCGATGCTGAGAAAAGAAGAGATCACTCATGTTGGTACCCTGCTGTTTCAACTCTCTCCTGCCACAGGACAGGTATCTGCTCTCCATTCACTCTGCACTGCTCCTGTTGAGCAGGAGCCAGCATCTTTTTCACCAGCTTTGGAAAGGAGCCAATGCTGTCCTGCTTGTTTGCTTTTGTTCATAAGTGTTCAGGGAATAGGAGAGCAGAGCTCTTGGTTGACCTGGAAAAACAGACTTCCAAGTGCCTCTCTGCTGAGGTGCACTGGGATTTTCAAAGGTTGACCTGCCTGGCATAAAGGTAGAATCTGAGAATCCACCTTTAGATTCTAAGTCTCAAGGATACCCACTTCTCCTATAAACATGCACGTATTGACTCAGTGCAGAAAGGCCTCAGAAGAGTCTGGACTCTGGTTGGGGTAAGATTGTTTTGTGTAAAAAAACATGTAAAGGGGTTCAGAGTCCTCTCAGGAAGTACAAACTACTGCAAAAGATCCCTGGAAGGATGTGTATTGCAAAGAAGGGCTGGAATATTTCCTCAGATACATATGGAAGACAGGTAGGATTTTTTTTTATTATTATCTTTAAAGCTCTTATCCATGTCACACATGGGAATCATAACTAAATGATTCCCATATAGGTCTTTAGCATCAGGGAGAATTAGCAACAGTTATATCTTGTTTTTTAATATTAACTAGACCTAAAGCATTTGAAAGCTCAGAAGACAGAACTGTCTTTAGTTCAATTTTGACAAAACTTTCCATCCAAACAGACATCAGCAATTACTGTTCCTTTACCTTGTCTGGCCCATCTTTTCCTCCATGCTTGGGATAGTGCAGTTCTCCAGCATGGTGTGCCCTGAGATATCGAGCGAAGTGAGGTTTACCAAGTTTTCCACAAACAGGTTTAGAACTCGACGGGTCAGCTTGAATTTGTAGTAACTGGACAGATGGTCTCGGGAGATATCCAAGTGCCTGCAAATGACAGAGAGCAGCTCAGAGCCTGGAAAGCATCAGCTGGGACTTCTCCCACTCTACCGGGGAAAAAATGAGAAACTGAGGTTTGTTTTCGTTTTCTTCCCCTTTCCTCTCTGAGATACAGCAATATGGTTCTGTAGGATCTGGCAGCAGGATCTGGCTTGTGTCTAACCATAGTCACAGATGCCTGGCGGAAGCCTATTCAGAGTGCAGCTCGATGCATTTGGCCACCACAAAGGCAATTGCTCTAGGCTCAGGAACGGCCTTTCCCAAGCTCTACCACAGCAGCCACCTGAGCAATTTAGCCTGGGGATTTAAGATGCACTGGAGGATTTTTGCATCTCCCAAAACACATGTTGGTTCACCCCACAAATTAAGTAACACAAGTTTGTCTGCTCTGCAATCTTTTCTTTTTCTACCCCAGGCCATTACTCTCTGTTTAGTTCATGTATCTTTTAGGTATTTAAGTATTTATGCTTTGGCAGCCTTTTGACACCACAGGAGTTGTGGGACAACTTGACCACTGCCATGTGCGAGCAGTGTCCCTTACAGGTCTGCTCTGACCTGCCAAGCAGTAGCTAAGACTCCTTAGAGAGATTTCTAAACTGCCTAAGACAGGAGTCAATGTCCTGTTCATAAAAAAAATTATTATTTTTTTTTTAAATGACTTCTATGTGCTGTGGACCAAGTTTCACTGAAAATATCAAGGGCTGAACTAAGTTACTCGGATTTAGTCCAGGAGATTCTCTGAGATTTCTGGGTCATGTGTAAGCCTAGTACCCCCTAGTGTTTGCAGCCAGCAGAGTCAGTTTTAAAGGCGCTGGAAAGTTATCTTCTGCTTAAACAGTAAGGCCCCTCTTTTTACCTCAGAAAGTCCTGGATCCCTTTCCTGATACCATTATTATGTCGCTTGAATAGCAATTGTCTCAACTCTGTTTCAGGAAGTCAATCCACTGTCAGCAAGGTTAGGTCGTGAGTGCCAATTTATTTTGGCTGCTGTTTTCCCTGGTTGCTCCATTCACGCACAGTGTGCTTAGAGAGAGCAGAGCAGACAGTGTGAGGAGCTGTGGGAGAGGTTTTTCCTAGTTTTTACCTCAGAGCCAGGCTTAAAATTCAGACATTAGTGTTTGACTGGTAGTTTCAAGGGCTGAATTACAGTGTGCTTGTCGCTACACCAGCACCTGCACACATCACAGCCATTTTCCCCATCTCTCAGATGCTATGACTCTCTTTTTTAAAGGGAGTTTCTGCTGTGTGAATGTGCTTGATATAATTTTGCAAGCAAAACCCAGGCTGGTTTTAGGTATTTCGATTGTACAGTGAGTCAATGATTGAGCTTCTTTATGGGAGAGTTTCTAACTTGAAGCAGTTGTGGGTGGCTCTCAGTTAATGCGCCAGTAACCCATTCCCAAAAGATCTGCATGGCCCTTATCTGTGGGAAAAGGATAAAGAAGGAAGAAGTCTGCTGACCTGAGCTTACGGAGCTGTGCGATCACCTGGATGTGCTCCTCTGAAAGGTCCATGTTGTAAAGCACTAAGGAAACCAGACTGTCCTTCCACTGGGTCAGAAATCCCACATCATTCAGCTGGATCCCAGAGAGATCAAGAGCTGCAAGGGAGGCCAAAGGCCGAAGCAATGTCTCCACATTTACCCCCTCGATCAAACGGCCGAGGTTCAGGAAGCGCAAGCGGCTAAAGCCTTCAAAAGTAAAGTCCTTAACCAAGACCTGGCGCGTGGGGTTCACCAAACAGTCATCCTCACAGCCTCCAGGGTTCTCCTCCTCGTAGAAGATATTACAGCAGCCAAAGAGGCTAAGGGAGATAAGTGTGTGGCTGAAGCTCACCAAGGTTTGTAGGCTCTTGGCTGTCAGCTTCTCACAGTTAGTCAAGTAGAGCTCAACAAGATCCTGGAAGATGGGAAATCAAACAGTTAGGAATACCTCATAGGTGGAGCGTCCACTGTTCCCTATGCTACTTCCTGCTGGGAGAAGCCCAAGACCAGGTATCACCTGACTTGGCCATTCCGTGTCCCCATTCCATTCCTGACAGGGGCTTTGGGATCTGATGAGAGAGATGCTGTGATTCTCCCAAAGAAAGAATTAGGATTCTTTCCTAATGGAGGAATGGAGCTTTGGGAATCTCAGGATGCCTGGGATTCTAGCTGTTGCCCACATGTCACTGCTAATGTGATGTGACAGCTAGAGGCTGTCAGTGCAAAACCACCTGCTTCCTGATGGCCTCCAGGTCCTGGTCCTGCACAATCTGTTCCCGCAGGTGGATCCGAGCTAGCCTTGTGCTCCGTGGATCCGAGAACAAGGTGAAGAAGCTCTCGTGGGGTTCAAAGATGCTGTCTGTCTTCACCAACTCCACATACCTGTATCAGGGGCAAAGATGTTAGCACAGCATGACGCACAGGCTCAGCTACAGCTCTACCATCTGTGCTGCTCACATGCGTGTGACCACAAGCAGACTCCCTGTGGATCACCCAAAATAGCCTTTGGGCTAATGGGAACTGGGCTAGGGTATTTTCTTGCCCCAAACTAACAACCCTTAGGAAAATCTCATAGGAAAAAAAAATGTGTGAGGTCGTATGTGTATTTCTGAGCAAACTGGATTCTGGCGAGCATGGACATCAGGACTTTTCTAACCATTTAAAGCTAGCAATTTGGTGTTTTGTCTTTTTCTTCCCACTTTCAGAAAATTAGCTGGCCAGGGTTCTCTGCCAGAATCCATGGGCAGTGGTTCAACTGAGATAGACTGTGAAGGGCAGGTTATAAATCCCTGGAAGCAAGTTGCTTTGTGAAGCTACAAGAGCAGTGGCCTTAAAGTGCAACTTCTGCTAGCGTTTTGTGCTCTTATTTCTCTGACTTGGGAGTTTTAATGATGGCAGGGTGGGGAAATGGGAAGGCTGCTTTGTTGCTTACTGGTGTTCTTGAATCAAATAAGGATTTTCTTTTTTTTCACTCTGGGTTCATCTATGTGGGAAATAGTGACTGGCAGAATTAGAACAACATACATTGGTACAGGAACCCTTGGGACACTTTGTTCTGATGTTGAAGCAAAGCCATGTTTCCAATATGAGGATGAAACATCAAAAAAAAAGCCCTATGAATTCCTTCCTATTTTTTTCCTTGCATCCTAAGGATGCATCAGTCTTTCCTAAAGAACTTCATTCCCTCATTCCCTCATTCCCCCTTCCCTGGACTTTTTTCCAAACGAGACAACAGCTTCTCCACAGGCCTGAGACGTACTCATTGACGAGCTTGTCACAAATCTCGCTTGGCAAGAAGATGTCGGGATGAAGCCGGAGAGTTTCATTGTCCAGCAGGTAGCAGAGAGTCCCCTCCAAGTTGCGGAGACAGTAATCCGTGCACAGGGTCATCAGTGATTCCGGGCTGTCGGATGCCATCTCGAAGGAAGGAACTGGAAGGGGAAGCGTAGAAAGAAGCTTTTGATTCAGAAGATCCTCCACGCAAGGGAAATTCCAGGGTGCATTTACAGGGACATCAGGACAGCTACAAGCAGAGGAAAAGCAGATGTATTCAGAAGGGGATATTGGAGGTGCTCTGCAAAGCTGTTGCACCAGCGGGATGTTGCTGCTGTATTTACAGCCAGTCACTGGCTGACATCAAAGGAACCTGCAGCATTTTGGCTTCTCTGCAAGTGTGCCCTTGATTCCGTGGTATTTATGTTTCCCCCTTGGTAAACAAGGGATAATATGACAGTGTAGGGTTTTGGGGACACTGCAGGAATGAGTTAATATGAAGCATATTGGCTAATGAGGCTACACAGCAAGAAAATGTTTCCTCACTGTGCGGGTTATCTGGCTGATGAAGGGCGTTTGAAAGGGAAGTAGCAGAAACCACACTGCTTTGTTCCCTTCGGACGGGGCTGGATAAACCACCGCAAAATTTCCTGTGGGGAAGATTCTTTGTGTAGGCCAAGCATGGCAGCCCTCTATCTTGTGCCTGTAACTCTGATTGCCATCATTCCACGTGAAGTTTCATGTTTGAGCTCTTTGCAGCTTCAAGCTCCTTGAACTAGAATGCGAAGCAAACCAGAAGCCAGAGGAGAATGTACTGACTGGTTTGGCTTTCCTCTGCAAGCGCAGTGCAAAGGAAGGTGCATGGCAGCACATGTGTGCATGCAGCTCCCTGGGACCTGCTCTCTTAAACCATTCCAAGCTGCTATAAGAAAGTATGTGTGAAAGACCTGCAAGAAGGGCAAGGAAAAGCCCCTTATTCTTTCATACTGGATAATGAAGCAGGGAGAATTCGGGGACGATAGTCCTGTTCTGTTTGTTGGTTTTAACAGAAACTCCACTTTACTTTCAAAGGGTCAAATCACATTAGAAGCAACTGTAATGTGAGTCCTTCTAGATACTTCTCATAATTTTTTTGAAATGTTTATTTTTGACATGAAAACTTGTGCCTTTCCAATTACTGTATCCCTAGAGGTAGGCAGGACACCAGTGCCATGGAGCCAGTTGCTCCCCTCTGGCTGCAGCTGATCAGCCGTTGCTGTCAAAGTTGTTGCAAAATGTTTTTAGCTATGTCACCAACCTCTTATCTTCACCCTGTGGCTGCAGAGAGCAGGATACTTGTGTGTCCCCTGCTCTCTGCTTCTGAGAATTCCTTTAAAGTCTCCTGTGCTGTTTTCTTCACTCCTGCAGTATTCTGACAACACAGTAAGTGTTTAATTTGCTTTCTTCACCTTAATCACTATCTCCAAAGGCACCCTGGATGGATCAGGCACCATTCTCCCTCAGGGATGCTTTCAGATGCTGCATTCAGCCGCTGCCTGGGGCATGACACCATTAGAAAGGACCAGTTAAAACTGAGGATGAGGTAACCTTGCAAATTCAGGCACCAAATGGTCTCTGTGGGGGACAGGAGCACAGCTGTGCCTGAGCCTGCCTGGCAGCCCGGGCTCCCGGCCGTCTCATCCCTCCCTTTGCTGCAGAATGGATTTCTGTGCAAACACGAGGGCAGCACAAGTTGCAAATCAAAGCTCTTTTCTTCCTTCTGTGTCTCATTAATTCTCTTTTTGAGGGTGTGTTTCAGTGCCAGGGCCAAGGAATTAACCCACGGCAGAAAGCAACCACTCGAGGACGCAGGCAGCAAGGGAGGCCTCGCCGTGCTGGACCTCACCAGGGATATGTGCACCCTGGGCCCTGCTTCCCCGGGCCAAATCCCTTCTAGGGTAACTGGATGACAAAACTAGGCACCAGCACTGATTTTGCCTTGTCTTTTGGCTTTACTTGAGCCTGATCAATAACTTCTCCTTCCTATATGCATCGGCAGGCAACTGGCAGGATCACGTATCGATCCCAAGACTCCTTAAGACCTGCTGTGTTCTGACCTAGAATTCGAGCGGCCCTTCCCGAGGGGATCTTGGGCAGCTTCTCTGCTGGTCTTGGCTCAGGTGGCAGAAAGGTCCCCAAGCAAAAGCTGATGCAGAGAGTTGAGAGAACTTAAATAAAACTCAGCAATCATAGAAGTTGTATCTACTCACGACACAGTTTAAAGGGCACAATCTGCTTTTCTGAGTCACTGTGTCTTGAGCCAGGGTCATAACATGAAATTACAGCTTCCCAAGGGTGCTTTTGTAGCTCAGACCTTTGTGATATGTATGGTACAAAGAACTAAAGTAAGGTCGTGGATCTTGAGTCATGCTGAAAAAGGAAATCCATAAGCAACAGTGCTGTCCTTTGTAGTGATGTCAGGAGAGGAGTCGAGGATTATAGGGGCCGCTGGCTGCAATGTTGGGAGTTTCCTCCAGGTCCTGACCAGGGCACTGCAGGGTGGGAGGAAAGTGTCCTGTGCTCTGCCCTGTGCCTGTTCTGGAGATGCATCTGCTTCCCTTCCAGAACGAGTCCCGCTTGCTGGGCAGAATCTTTCCAGAAAGGCAAGATCAACAGGAATATCTGAACCAGCAGGGAAATGCGTTCTGCTATTCCCATCAGCTGACCTGGGCCATCAGACAGGAGCTCCTGGAGCCCATGTCCTTTCCTTGTTTACTGCTGGCAGCCAGGGAACTCAGAAACAAATTCCCCCTAAAAACCTGTTATCACATGCAGCTGGAAAAGGCCAGTGCTTGGGCCTTGTCCAAGCAGCTTAGAGCACTAAAGGGCAAACGCTGCCTTTCTGCAGCTCTCAGCCCTCAGGGCCCTGCTCCTGGGGTGATCACAGTATAGCTGGCTGATCCAAGCCCAGGAGAAATCAGCAGCACTTTTAACTTCTGAGCTCCTCAAAATCTACCAACCAAGTTCCCTACAGAGAAAAAGTTGTTAAACTCCCCCCACAAAGTAACACCTAAGAAGAGCTTTTTCCCCTCATGATTTCTTACCCGTATTAGAGTAGCACCCAGAGCTGTGGCTGCAACCATGGTCCTTTTGACATAACACAAGCCAGTGCCTCATCTGTGAAATTCTACACAGGCTCGAGATGTGACATGTGGACAGGGGGAGGAGGCAGAGTGCCAGCAGTGGGACTGCACTGATGAACGTTCTCTCTGCTTAGAAGCTCAAGGCGCTTTGTCGATAAACATACAAGAACTAGAGATGCTGACGAATCATTAACATTTGCCTAATCGTTATCTTCAGGCAGCTTTCCCCAGGCAGTAGAGCAGCAAGTCCCCTGCCTACAGGACTGTCACCAGCGCTGGCTGGTGTGTGTCTCGACAGAAATGTGCAAGAAGCAGAAACTGCAAACGCAGCAATCGAGAAGGCAGCGGGACGATGGATGCCAATCTCTTTGGCAATTTCTTTCTCCACCTGAATCCCTGCCATATTCATGCACGAAGGAACTGAATCCCTTGGAGACAAGGTAGCAGCCGTATAAAACCTGGGATACGAAACTACCCACTGAAGCATCTCTGTCGGTGGAGTTGGAGCACCCTCCCACCATCCCGGGACCTAAAGGAAACTGCAGTACCATAAAATGCAGCTTCACTCTCCCCTCTCACCAGCCTTCCAGGCAGCCTCTCTTGCAAGTACAGCTTATTTGGGTGCTACATCTATATTTTTCCAGGTGTTCTTGGCTTCTCTGGCCCCGTGCTGCTCTGGGTGCTCCCGGGGATGCCTGTGCCAATAACGCCCTGCCTTGGACTTCAGACTCATCTTCCCTCCTCGATCTCTCTCCTCCAGGCTGAGGCCAAGCCAGGCGCCCTGCGGCTCCCTGCCAGCCACATACCATTTAGGCTACCCCTATTAAAATGATTAAAGCTGCATTTTCCAACATCGGGGACTTGTCCAAGGAGAGGGCAAATAATAAATACTGTCAGAAATCAGTTACAAAGAAAGATTTGAACAGATTTCCAGCAAACACAGTTTGGCATGGGGTAGATTTTGAAGGAAAACTGCACTGTCATTTCACTCAGCATCTTGCAGCTGCAAATCCCTGCATTCCTGTTCACGGATGGGTCCCTGCAACGGCTGCAGAAAACGCCACCCCTGAGCGGGAACGCACCGAGCTCCTCGCGGCGGCTGCACAAAACCTGCAGCTCGAGCCTGCTGCAGGCCCCGGTCACCGGCGCGAGGCGGCGGGAAGCACTGACCTCTGCGGGGCTGCACCGAGGAGCTACGCGGCGCCTCTTCTCGGCGGAAGGTCACGCATCGCCGGGAGCCCTCGGATCACCGCCGCT